GTTAAGTCTGTAAACACCCCCACCCCCTCCCCGGTGAAACAACAAAATCTTCTTATGAATTTGGGAAAGGGGGGGGGGGGGTTGAAAATAAATTTCCGCTTTCCGTTGATTTCTATAGCGAAAAACACAAGTTTTACCAAATTAAAGAAATTAAAGACCTGTCTCTTTTTGTTTACCCAAATAGGTAATGTTTTATGAAAATTAACATCAATTTCACAAGTTTTACCAAATAAAAGAAATTAAAGACCTGTCTCTCTTTGTTTACCCAAATAGTTAATTTTTTTTGAAAATTAACTAATTTCTATATAATCATTCAAATATGTTAACTTAAAAAAATTGACTGGGAGGTAGTTGGCAGAGCATACATGTACAGTGTACATATCACAGGATTAATATGATTTATTCAAGCATGCGTATTAAAGATATTAAGATAAAAAATATTTAGAATATCGTCTATCAGCTATGGCACAGTAATTAAGGACATTGGCAAGTCCACGGTTATCCGGAGAGAGAAAAACTGTGATTGAGAGTTATCTCCCCTGTCTAGTACGCAGTGAAAACCAATAAAGCGTATGTTACAGAGATTTATTAAAACAAATCCTTCAACGTGTAGATTATAGACTCGTCTCTACGACAAGAAATTAAAGAAAAGCAGTGGTGGCTTTGTTGGACATTGTACTTAAAATACAGCTATATGGTGGGAAGGGGAAAGATGTGACAAATGCTGAGATTAGTTTCTAGGTCTTGTGAAGGAGGCGCTCTGTCAAAAATTAAGAACATATCCATGTCAATGTTTTTCTTTAGCAATCCTGTTTCCAATAAAGTAAATTACATTCTAGAAACAGTCAATCAGTCTCTACCTTTACGAATAATAAAAGAGTCTAATGGAAGTAACTCATTACACATACTCAAGAGTTCTTGAAAAAATCTGTACGAATGAAAGTTTATACCACAACTCCCTTTGGCTTAAAGCAGGTCGAGGAAACTATTTTCTGTGACGTCCGAATAAATTTACATACTAAATGAGGCACCAACGTGACTGACAAACCGACCAATCGGCTAAATGAGTTGCATTATGGGTTACTACAAAAAATACTATAGGTACCTTTCGAAAAGGCCAGTTTTTCGAATCGCTGTCGGAAAGACATGATGCATTAATCCAAGCATTTTACACACTTAATACAATATGTACATCATTATCTACGTTAATACAATATGTACATCATTATCTACGAATTCCATGCTCACATGTACATACAAATGTTTTACAACAGTAAAATTAGGGTTTTCTATACTCCATTGTCCAGGTCTTTTTTGTTGACAATTGCCTGGCAGCTTTTCCCGTGCTGTACTATCAGTGAATATGAATTTCACTGACTATTCACTGGCCCAAAACAATCAACTCTGAGGTGTACCTACGTATTGTCATTGTTCACTACGATATATATCCTACTCAATACACGTTGTATGATCAATGTACATGAGAATTAATGTGTAATTCATGAGAATTACTGTGTAAAATAAATGCCGTGCATGTAGCAATAAATATTACTGTTTTTTTTAAATAAATGCATTATAAATTTCTAGTAAACAAATAATAAAGCAATAACGAATACATGTAACACCAGTAGCATGGCAAATTTACGAATATCAAGTTATAAAAACTGGATTTTTTATTTACTTGTGAAGACTTTGTGAGCGGTATTTCAACGTACTATTTAACACGGAAAATTAACTTTGTTTGTTAATGTGAGCATGGGAAATCTTAATTAGTACCTATTCTTCGTATTTTTCACAAAAATATTAAAAATAATTATTATTTGACTTTCCCGTAGTCATTTGAAATCGCGTCCTAAATTTGTCTGACCCACGTGTTTGTTGTAAAATATAAACATGTAGTAGACCATCATGCTTTTCGGCTCATTCATTGGATTGGACGATTGTTTGCTGTAAGTACCTCTGTGCGCAATGACAACAATATCCATATAAGGTAGATTCCTCGACCTGTTAAGGAAGATCCTATTGATTTTGAGGTCAAAGGCCAAGGTAATAAATTCATACATTCTCAATCTGCCGGTCTGCGTGTAACACTTTCGTTTCCGATATCTAGAGAAGCCTTTGAGATTTTGCAATGAAATTTTATACCATAACTCCCTTAATAATGGCCCCGCCTGCCCATCTCAAAGTGTCTCGCCCCGTTTATTATTATTGTAAAACTAAATAATTATTATTATTTTGGTCAATTGGAAATTTGTTGGCATCGATCACCTTCAAAGTTTTAGAGTTATTCCCCGTTTGTATTAAAAGTCGCGTGGCTCTATTTTTAGCACAGGAGCATGTGGAGTTATGACTATATACATGTAATAAAGGTTGTCGGTGGACTTTATATTCTATTTACATCTATTAGAACTGTTTAGTAAAGGCTAAATTAGACACCATGTGTTGTGTAAAATTTTGACAACGAACGTGAATATATACATGTACATGTATGTGTGAACTGTTTACATTCGATTTCAAGCGCCTCGTTGGTCCAAGGGTATGATTCTCGCATTGAATGTAAGAGATGCCGGATGCAAATCCCGGACGATCCCGTTTTTTTTCTTGAAATGTTTTTTTCGATTTACTAAATGATAGTGTTTAGCATATGAAATGAAGAAATTATGACGTCTGGCATGTACATGTACAAACCTTCTCTTAAAATCATTATTACAGTGTGATAAATATTTTATATAAAAAGAATCTACTGTACACATTTCAATGAATAAGCATCCATATTGGCATTTTTTATTTGCTTCAGTATATACATTTAATAACTCTGCAACCCCTTCCCCTAGATCTGCGCACGCTCTTCTTTTTTTCCTTAAGCGGGGGACAAAAATTCTCTGAATTAGCTTGTCATTAAAAGCATCAGACGACAAATAAAATGTTTTAAATTCAAATTTTAAAAAAAATCTAAGAATCCTTTTTTCTATTCTTTCGAACTCTTTCGTCTTTGCAACTGAGTCAAAAGAAACAATTTGTTCACGTACATGTAGTCTTATATTACTGTGAGTTTACTATTATAACATACAGAGATCTCGAAGTGCAATTTAATTAGCTAAATACAAACCTCTTTATCTAATAAATGTTTGCAATGATGCGTGTAAATATGATGTTTGATTTGCTTTGAATTGTTTTCTTTTTTAATATGGTTAAAACTTAATCAATATTACTATAGGACGAGTTTTGTTAAACTCTAAATAACCCATTTCCTTTCTTGACAAGCTTTGATCTTTTTTAATATATATACGTGCATGTATGTGGATAACAAAGGTGATCAGATAGATCGAAGTAAACATAACTAACGTTTGTTATTTTCACCCTCTTCCAGGTTTTTGCTAGTTCAATGACAATTGATATCATAGAGATTATTTACCAGAAAGTCGAAATTACTTTCTGAATATATTTTAAAGCTAGCATTAGAACATCTGTTTGAGAGAAAATAGCACGACATATTAATTGCTAGAAATATGCAGACTGAGTCCTTCGATTAAAATTAGTTATTTTAAATATACTATAAGTGTTGGGTAAATTTATAGAATATATGCATCATTGAATAGACATCATATTACGCAAAGGAAGTGAAATCCAACATTCACAGAATCGTTGACAGGTCTTTCTATCAAATAAAGGAAAAACAATCAAACTACCTTAGCTATCCATAATTTATTATATAAATTCAAACTACAGATATTATATGCATATATGACGAATAGGGAAGAATATTAAGAGATGTAGTTATAGTAGATTTAGCTTTTGTATTTAGTCAAGGATAAAACAAGAAAATGTACAAAGTATTCTACAATTAAAAAAAAAGGAATAAATACGAGGGTTATCCCAGAAAAACGCGAACATTTTCAATATCTTTTGTTTCACTAATGCTATAAAGTTAAAAATTGACAAACACCATAATCAGCATTTTTTGAATGCATAAACATTTCAATAAAATATCTCTATAAGTAATTTTTTTATCTCGGGTAAACGAGCGTTTGTGAATTTATTTTGGAATCATGCGTCTAATAAAATTCGTTTGAAGCATAAATTCGACACTGCATTTAATTTTCTTTTAGTTACCAAGTTATCCACCTCAGATATTAGCGTTTCCAAAAGATCGCAAAATTAATTCTTTTAATAGACAATTTCCCAACCCCGGTCATAAGTTTACCTCACTGCTCGCATATTTAAACGGCTGTCGCCACGTATGACGTCGACGTCCAGCTTTTGACTTTTCAGTTTGTTGGTCTAACAAACGCTTCTTCCATCGAAGAACCAGTCAAGCCATCCTCGAACCTGTTGAACTAGGTATAAATCTGTGTCCAAGATATAAATTTGTGTCGTTCTATCGTTTACATCTCTTTTCCCATTTGGACAGGAGTCATATCCCGCTCAAAAGTACTGCTTGATAATTTGGTGCTCCGCATTATCGCCCGACGTCTCCATTTTTGACAATATCTTAGTAAAAGTGTTTTGGCATCTAACGTCATATTTTTGCCATTTGTAAATTTTTATACATGAGTACTCCAGATCATAGAGTTTTTATGGAGTTAATTTTTTTCACATTATATTTCCGTATAGTCTAGTAATAAAGAAAACTTCACTGACAATGCTATTTCTAAAACGCAAAAAAATGTCATGCGCCGAATACCGATATTTGACACCTTTAAATGCTATTTTTACATGCATATGACATTATATCATTAAAATATTTTGTCAAAATAGCAAAAATGTCATTTCCCAATAAGGTGCAAAAAATAATTTATTTGGGTCGAATAGTTTTTAAAATATTCAAAAAGTTCACGATTTTCTGAGACAACCCTCGTAAAGTACCAATATATTTGATAATTAGACATAATAACACTGGAAATATTTACAATGATAGAATTTTGGAAGAATTCCTCCTTTACCTTTTGAAACATGTCACATTTTTGATTGGGTAGGTACTAGCAGAATATAACGATGTAATGGTACAGTAAATTGATTTTTATTCCATAAGTGTCATATGTATTGCTGTGTAATTCGCATTACCCATGTCTGTTTTCATAGCCAATATCTTCACTGGATATTTTGATACTGAACTTATGCAGCTTTTTGACAAATAAAATTAAATCTGTTTTGACATTTTGCATCATTCCAAGCATAGTTAAAACTACTATGCAATTGCACGCAATGCTCACCACCAGAATCATTGGGTTCTCCATGTCCCCAGGTAGAATAATAAAACCTGGTGTTGCTGCTCATCCACTTCCATGATCTTTCAATAAACATATCAGAACCACCGAGCCAAAAAATTCCTGTAATTTGAAAATTAACTCCTTTTATCAATTAAAAAAGAACAAGATATCAATGTACCAAAACGCTCACATGAGTCAATATGACCCTGTCGTTCTTCATCAGTAAAACATATTCTCATCGAAAAGTTTGAATCCCTTCTGTGACCCCACACTACAATCAAGTGTCATGATTAAAACAAACTTGAATTTAAATCATCTTAGGATGCTTCCATATTCATATGACTAATCATGGCCTTGCTTTTCTTGAGGAGAGGAATTTTAAAGAAGTGGCTTCACCATACACCTGGGCTCATGATTTGAACAAAGTTGAATCTACACTTTCTGAGGATGCCTCCATAACAATATGAATAATCTTGGCTTTGTTGTTCTTCAGAAGAGGATTTACAACGATCTTACTATACATCTTTATGTAACACTTTGTTGCCCCATTATTAATAGGCTAAGCCTATTAAGGGGTCATGATTTGAGCAAACCTTAATCTACACTACTTGAGAATGCTTCCATATCAATATGACTAATTATGGCTGTTCTGTTCTTCAGAAGATTTTTAAAGATTTTTCTAAAGATTTTCCCTATTTATTCTTATGTCAAACTTTGATACCCCAATGTATCCCCACCCTACCCCCGGGGATCATGATTTGAACAAATCTGAATCTACACTATCTGAGGATGCTTCCGTATGAATATGACATATCATGTCTTTGTTGTTCTTGAGAAGAAGATTTATAAAGATTTTTCCTATATATTTTTATGTAAAACATTGATTCTCATTGTAGCCACACCATACCCCTGCAGACAAATATGAATTTATACTATGTAATGAAGGTTTCACAAGTTTAAACTTTCCTTACCCAGTGGTTCTTGAATATTTTAAAAAGATGCCACCAAATTTTCACTAATTCTTCATTATCTCTTATTGTAAGATGGTGTGGTTCTTCATTTGAACAAATTTGAATCCCCTTCACCCGAGGATCCTTTGTGGCAAGTTTTTTTTTTAAATTGGTCAGATGGTTCTTGAGAAGATGTCGAAAATGTGAAAAAGACGGACGGAAGGACAGACAGACGGACGCCGGACAAAATGTGATCAGAAAAGCCCATTTGAGCTTTCAGGTCAGGTGAGTTATAAAACCAGAACATTAAAAAGAAAAAATTACAAACAACCAAAAACAGTTGAATCATTGCTTCAAACTGTCTTAAAGTCATGGACAGACAAAAGGTTTACAGAATACATAGAAATATGTACTTTCGATGCCCCCGAATTGCTATATCTATGTTGCATAAAGGAGAAACCTACAAACCTGTTAGGCGTCTCGCTTCATGCCTAAGAAAGGTGTTTACTGATGACGATTTTACCTCTGCCAATATTGCCCCGTAGGTCTTGCAAAATGTCTTAAAATTAAATGAGTGAAATCTACATAAAACCCGATTTTTCACAAAAGTAGTTTACAATGATTGTTTTTAAAAACGAAAAGTTACCTCATATAACAATTATAACTATTCTTCTTTTTTTTTTGAGAAATAATATGGAAGTTGGTTACCATTGCATCAATCCATTCCATAGGATATCGAGTGACAAACAGATAGCAGTACTTTCCATATCGTATCCAGTGATTGGGACATCCTGCAGAGACGCAGCCAAACTCTAAAAATACAGACAATCAACATTGTATATGGAAAAAAAAAATTTTTGATGTCAGAATAGAATTTAACTGTCTATGGAACTTTCCCCCAACAGAGATGTTTTACTAAAGTTACAAGAGTTTTTTTTTTTTTAAATCCAACATCTCTGTTCAATAAATGAATACAAGTACAATTGAAAATTCCATTGAATTATATATATTTTTGGAGCAGATTGCCATAACAAAATTAGAGACATAAATTATATCTTATTTATTTCTCTGACAGAACCGTAAAATTAAAAAGAAACAAAGTTTAAATGAAAGATTTCCAGAAACTATACCCAAGTATATGACTTGGGAATGATGTGATAAAAACCTTCAAAGTCCTTACCATAGAACATGAAAATCAATAAAAATTTGTATCCCATCATGATAACATAAGTGAACTAAACCACAAATTTTTTTATTCTGACTGGAAGTGAGGCATTCTATTTATGTAGAAATATTAATCATGTCGCATGCGCAAACATTTATTTTTCCCTTTTATTTCATTTACATGTTTCCGACATTACTCTGAATATCTGATTTTTTGTTGTTTTTTTTTTTAATTTCAAACAAATATAAATGACATATTTATAGATTTGAAATAAAATGACAAGTTAATATAAAGGGTACCCCTATCTTTGGCTCTAAGCCAAGCTGAGAATTTTTATAATAATAACATGAAGAACACATGATTTGTCCTTTTGATTTAATATGTTCTTTGTGGTATTTAGACATAATTTCTTACTCATCAGATTAAAGCCTCTTAGTTCTTAATAAGATTAATAATTTGTCTTCCTATACTGTATTTCTCTTTAGGGTCGCTTTTTGAACAATTTTTGTATGCGTTCACAGCAAAAAATGATAAAGATTCTTTTTTATATACGATGGGGATGTTCACTCCTCCATGGTACCTGATCCACCTCTGATGTTATTGGAGGTCCGTTTTAGCTCTGCTTCCGATTTGTATTGTTTAAATGGACTTTGAGCTTGAATACTGTTCGTTATCTCCATACTTTTCGGCCAAGATTCAACAATTAGTTCATGAAAACTGAATATATACTGAGGATGCTTTGTAATTATTTGATGAATCTGTGTTATATTGAATTCGAAAAGATTTTGGAGTAACTTTCTGATACTTTTCTGTTTGGTAAACATTTGATCCTTGTATTTTTAAAGGCTGGTGAACCTCGTCATCTCACCATGATTTCTTACTAGCATTATAAACAGTTTGAGACTGAAGATATGTTTTTCTGTGCAAAAATTTAAACTTTAACATTGACAAATCATGCCAGTATATAGGTAATAAAATATGATTAGAAGTATTGTACATAAGGAAATGAAATATGGAGATGTTTCAGGTTATATGTTTTAGTGCTGCGTGCTTGTTTTTACCCATTTTATCTTGGTACCATGTGTAAAAAGATTAGGAAGTATTCTAACAAATTTTTAATGTAAATAACTTCTCGGTTTATAACGGCTGATTAGTGAACACATTGTCATTTTCTTCTTTATTTAGATTTTTTTTTCATTTTTTAAAGATAACTGACTAAAATTCTATGCTTTGTATAATATATGTTTTGCAATACTATAGTATTTACTAATTGCATAAGCTAATATTATTTATAATAACAGGTACTTATGTATTATATACTTGTTGCTTTTAATTTGAAAAGATATCATAAATGACAGATTGGTTATGTCTGGTTTCTCTTATTTGATATAAAGATATGCAAACAAGGTTTAGATTGTATGGTTTCATTCCATGATTTTTTGTTTGTTTGTTTTTGTTTTTGTTTTTGTTTTTGTTTTTTTTGGCTTTGTTTTGTTTTGTTTTTTTTTTGTTTTTTGCAGTTTTCAAATACATAATTTATATATTCAAAATAAATATTGTTACACCAGAGACCTGCATATTTCATACAAATATCACTCGACACCGATTGTTAAGTTATGTTATAGTACATCTGTTACCATAGAAGATTTATAAATATATTGCATGTTGATTTACATTAGAGTAAATCTGTCACCGAAAAACAAACATAAGAGACGTTGCGTGTACCTCTTCATAAACAGATATTCCTCGAGAGAAGTAAACAGATGGCTCAAATTTAAACTTACATATTTTGGCTAAATCATTTAGACTCAGGTCTATTGAGATTCAAACTCGAATCAGTAAAAGAAAAAAAAAGATAAAGCATATAGATCTACTAACCTTGATTACAAAAAAAAACTTTGGCATATTTACGGTAGAATGATCTGTTTTATTAATTGAAAGTCAATGTAATTATCTTCCAGACAAACAGCATTATTATTAATGACACAAAGACCTATCCATCGCACTTTCAGACTTTTTTTATTTAAAGATGTACTGATTTTTATAATTAAAAAGTAAGATATTAATAATAATAATATATATATATATATATATATATATATATATATATATATATATATATATATATATATATATATATATATATATATATATATATATATATACTGATTCAGGTTTGAAGAAAATTTGGCAACAGATGTGCGCATCTGTACACAGTTACTTTTTTTTTTAAAGAAAAAATCTCTTAACATCTCTCTGAAAGAGTACAATGATGTTTCTGACATAAATTTATGATGCAAGTAATCCAGTTAATCATTTAATTCCTTCCCTTAAAAAAACCTTTCACCAGTGCAAGCTTGGTTACCAAATCTTTATTAAATAGATTGATTCTTTGGACGCAATTGCAGAATCCAAGTGTATAATTTAAAAAAAAATTATTTTACAGAACATTTTTTCGCCTCTTGATTTGAAGCTAAAAGAAAGCATAAAGTAATTTTGAATCTGTATTAAATGTGTTTCATACATTTCAGGCATTTACAAACTGTTTGTATTAGAAAGAAGTTTGAATACGTTGATGACTCACTTTTCCCCTTTTCTGGCTATAGTTATACTACTTTTGCATCACACCTTGTATAACAGATCTTGGCAAATTTCCAATGTAGAATTTAAGAATTCGTTTAAGGTGGTATGGGACGAAATTTCTCCTACATTTTTATTTGCTTAAAATTAGTGGGCTTTGAAATACCCCTACTTTTCAGTATGTTAAATTGTAATTTTAATGATTTCTTATTTAATATAATAAAAATATACAAAAATGATTTTTCTTATTTTATTTTTTTTCCAGAAACTTAATATTTTAGGCAAGTGTTGACTAACATATTGTTGATATAAAAACAAACAAAAAAGGAAGACCCCCCCCCCCCCCCAAAAAAAAAGTCTCATTAATTTTTTTAATTTCAACAGAAAATAATCACAAACTGGGAAAACTACATTACTTGAAACAGACGGTTAACTTTCCATGGTAATCTACAGTTAGAATGTGCCTAAATATGTTAACAAAGTAAAATATAGAAATTGAAAAAAATATAATATATATAAATGAAAAATATCAAATGCATTAAAAATTTGAACAAAACGACCCTACATGTAATTGAAGAGTTATCCTTTATATTTCACGGGTTAAATTACCCTGGGTGCTACTTCAGAAATTAGAAGCTTTTTATCAAACTTTCGAAAAAAAAAATCGCACTCTTATGCAGTGATAGTTTTGAAAACAATAAATGAACAAGAAATGAACAATTGCTTTCCAAGATTTGTCTCCTTCAGAACAATTGCAGTCAAAGTTCTAAAAGTCTTGAGGCTATATGTGACCAAAACAGTTACTTCTTGAATGAAATAAGAAGGAAGACCACTTCAGGTTAAGCTTTATGTTAAACTTGATGACTTCTACTTTGCAATCGTCAACTTACCTTACTTATGCAGTCATATACCCTTAACAACTGCATATTGGGTTTATATCCCTAAGTTGCTTCGATACGCAAGTGCATGATCTACGTATGAACAATTTCTAAAATGAAGTAAGTTATTGAAAAAACAAGTTAAAAGCTTCAGTAAGTTCTTTTTAACAGTGTATCTACAAATCTTGACCTGATAATAATCAAAACAATACTTCAAACGCAAGTACTTCATAAGAATATCCCATGCTACCTTAAAATTTTTTTTCTTGAAGGTTAGAAAACAGTATTTGCACACACCCCAAATAGACATAAAAAGAAGCAATAAGAAAAACCTAGTTCTATTGTTTTGGGGCAGGAAATCTTTGGAAGTAAGATGAATTGTATGGAAGGACAAGGTAATCACTACATATTAATTAAGCCTTATTTTAATCTCACCCCCCCCCCCCAAAAAAAAAACAAAAAAAAACTTGCACATTAGTCATAAAGTGCTTTAATTTAAAAGGAAGCAACAAATTATCATTATATTCTAAGTAACATATACTTGTACGTGCTTTATTTTTATTGTTGGTGAAAAATCTTGAACTTCTCGTTCAGCTGTTATACTTTCATCGATAATGCATCCTTCTGCGCATCTGTTGCGAACAAGTACTCACCATATCTTGTGGAAATTTAACATTAGATATGCTACGGATTTCAATCTTGCGAATACCTACAGCAACTTGTATGTTATATGGACAATATAATGTTAGATAGGTTTTCAATTCAAGAGGTTGAATATACCCTGGGAATAAAGATTTTTTTTTTTTTCATTATATTGCCACGCATTCCAGACTTCAAAGATTTAGTGTATAAGAAAAAATGTATTCTTGTAATATATCCGATGCTTTACCATTGCCAAGTCAAATTCAAAGACAAAAAAAAAAATGCGATTTTGTCATGCATCAGATTTCCTGCCACTAATAAAACTTTAATTTTGGGTTGCAACAACATAGTGTCAGATTTAAATCCTCTTTTAATTTAAGTTTTCATTTCGTGAAAGTAAAATTATGATACATGCTTTTTAAAGACATCAACATTTTCAAATGTTATAATTCAGACTGATTTGCTCTAGATTCCCTTTCCTGAACCCTAAAATAAATTTAAAATATGCATAAAATTTACAAAAGGTTTAGAAGCGACAATGTTTCAAACCACGTGTTTCTTTTATTTTCAGAATTGCATGTCTTAATGTTGAAATCTGAAATGATAGGAGGATAAGCCCCAACAAAAAATGCTACAGTTAATATAGTTTACTATATTTAACTATAGTTTATTATAGAAAACTATAATTTACTATAGTAAATCAAAGTTTTGACTGTAATAAATTAAAGTAAATTTACTATATATTTTTAGATTGTTAAATTTTATGTTCTCCAATTCATACATTTATATTTTTAATATTAAATGGAACTCCTGTATATTCACATTTTATTTGAAAATTTTACATCACTCTTATCAAATTTAAGAGATTTTAAGTTTTGATATCTCAAAAAGCTCCAGAGTAAAGTTTCATAGTAAATCAAAGTTTCAAAGTTTTTACTATAGTTAACTATAGTAAGCTATACTTAACTATAGTTAATTTTTGTTAGAGAGGAACCTACTTACTTTGTGTACAATGACACCGATCCCATCTTTTTTGTCATGACTTGTCCAATGCGCAATATATATTATGCATTTGATATTTCTGTGTCAGTATTTGTACTGTGTACATAATCTTTGCTATGAGATATTTTTTACATGAGATTTACTCTCCTTTTTGGGGGCCTAAGATTGAATTTTAATGTCGTGTTGTCGAGAAGTTAAAATCAAACAAAACATGAGGAATCTGCATAAAGACACTTACAAATTATTTTTTTGATGAAAAAATTCGAGAGTTGAGATCTCAGATGAAGTATGTGAAAGTAAAAAATCTTGCTGCGTTTGTGATCATAAAAATTTAGGCATACAGCATTTATTTATCCCCCCCCCCTAAAAAAAGAGAATAAAACGACACACGCATGCTTTTGTTTTAGTCCCTTTCTAAGTTTACAGTTTATAATATATTGTTGACAATTGCTTAAAACTGGCATCTCAAGAAAATCTTCATTAATTTTGACGCATGAGATTTTATGCATGTTTGATTGATTGTATGTTGTTTAATATTAACATTCGAAAATTGTACGCCAGTAAAAGACTTCAAAGAACTGCGAACGATAGTATTGTTTTCATATTTATATAGATATTAATGTGAATTTTTATAAAACATAACTTATTTGGGAAAACAAAGAGAGATAACTCTTTCATTTTGGTAAAAATTGCGCCTTTTACTATAGAAATCAACGGAAAAAGGAAAATATTTTTAAACCCCCCCCCCCCCTCGCGAAACAAAAATTCCTTTTTATGAGTTTTATCAATTGTTTTTTCACAAATACAGACCAAAGCTTTTGTTGTTTCACGGGGGGATATTTTTACCGACAAAAAACTTCTAAAAGGTAATATTATTACCAATTTCAAATAAGATTTGAGATTACAAATAAAATAAGTTCTATCAATCTTTTATGTTGAATTTTGCATAAGTTAAACATACAA